TACAAGACATTTTGGTGCCTCCTGTGAGGTGTTCTTACCCCACACATTACGAGAGATTGCGTCATCAGAGCAGAGACGATCAAGGCGATCATCGATACGCAGGACGAGCGACAGATATCGAAGTGGAAACACAGCGAGTCAAGCGTGAGCGGGTGAAGCGTAAGCGGGTGAACTGTAAGTCATTCGATTCAATTCTTCACAAATCGTGCAACGATGGTCGACAGAGTTAAGCTGCTCGTCCAGAAGCGAACGGCCTTGAAGGCCCAGATTACGAGTCTCACGAATATCCTCGACAAAGGCCAAATTGATAATGCCACATTAAAATTGCGTACTGCTCGTTTGACAGAGTTATTTCATGCGTACGAAGATTTTAACGATGAACTCGCGGTTTTAGACGCAAGCGACGGACATCAATCCGAATTTCTAAACATTCAGGAAAGATTCTATTCTCTCGCGGGTCGAATCGAGAACATTCTAAGCGCCGCCAGCGCGTCGGGCGCTAGCACGTCGGGCGCTAGCACGTCGGGCGCTAGCACATCGGGCGCTAGCACGTCGGGCTCTAGCGTTAGCGCAACGAGCGACGAAACGCGCGTTGACAATGCGGCAAATGTAGCAGCGGCCAGGAGACGGCGAATAAAATTGCCTGAGGCATCGCTGCCTACGTTCGACGGCAAATTTGAAAACTGGCTGTCGTTCAAAAACGCGTTTGATAATATGATCGGATCTCAAGCCGACTTGACAGACCAGGACAAATTACATTATCTAAAATCGGCATTGACGGGTGAGGCTGCGAATAAGATAAAGATTTTCGCGAACGACGGGGTAGACTATTCTAGTGCATGGAAATTGCTAGAACGAGCCTACGAGGTGAAACGCATACTAATATCGCGGCATCTCTCGTTGCTGTTAAACGCGCCGGCGATAGATAAGGAGAGCACAAGCGGGCTGATGAAGCTCGCCGACGACGCTCAGCAGCATGTCGTATCATTAAAATCTCTGGGAGTTACCGTCGGTCCGGAAATAATCGTGCATGTATTGGAAAGTAAACTCCCGAGATCTACGTTAGATAAATGGGAAACATCATTAGAGAAAGACGAGCTCCCTAAACCTGAGCAAATATACGAATTCTTGTATAAGACAGCGGTCTGCGCGTCGCGTCGCGAAAGAGCAAAGATGTCGGAAACGGAAGCAGGCAAGGGCGGACCCCCGGCTAAAAGAATGCGAAGCGGCCCTCCGAATCGGGCGTTCGTGGTAAACGCATCGCGCAATTGCACGGCGTGCAAGGTTAAAAAACATCCGCTGTATCTCTGTGACGCGTTTAAGAGAATGCCCGTACCTGAACGCATCGAAGCGGTGAGAAACGCGAAGTTATGTTATAATTGTCTGCGCTCTCATTTAGGCACTCCTTGCAGATTCTCTAAATGCACCATTTGTCAGGGGCGTCACAATACGCTTTTGCATCTAGAGAAACAAGCAAAGAAAATCGAAGCGCCGAGCTCAGATTCCACGCAGTCTAAGTGACAATCCGAATCGTCCGCCGACCGAGAAACGAGCCTCGCGACAATGTCTCATTTTGCGCCACAGTTATTGACAAGCGCAATAGTCCATCTCCGCGATCGTAGTCACAACGTCGTTAAGTGTCGAGCATTATTGGATACGTGCGCCACCGCCAATTTTATATCCGAATCTATTGTCGAACGTTTAGACGTACACGTGACCAAGCATTCGGTGACAATCGGCGCGATTAATGAGATGAATTCCGAGTCAAGGGGCATGGTACAAGTCGTCATGCAATCATTGCATGACGATTTCCGCAAACCGTTAACATGCTTGACTGTACCGGCAATCACGGATCTAGTTCCTTCGGAAATATTCCCACGAAACTTGTTCAAAATTCCACCGAACATTAGACTTGCCGACCCGGACTTTCATATACCGCGTGCTATTGATTTGTTAATCGGCTCCGGAGCGACGCTGTCGTTATTCTCGGTCGGACAAATCAATCTGTCGCAAAGAAATCACGATCTTTATTTGCAGAAAACGCGGCTAGGTTGGGTGGTCGCCGGGAGCCCATCGGCGCCGCTCCCCTCAAGGTCGGCAACGTGTCACTTAACGAGCCTAGAGAAACAGCTAGTCAAATTCTGGGAAATCGAAGAAATAACGACGGATAAACCGCGATCAGAGGAGGAGAATCTGTGCGAAGCACATTTTTTAGAGACCGTTTCTCGCGATAATGACGGACGATACGTAGTTCGGCTACCATTTCGAAAAATAAACAACCATCTAGGCAATTCACGCAACGTCGCGCTTAAGCGTTTAACATCCTTAGAACGCAAACTCAACGCGAACGATTCATTAAAGAGCGAATACGCTCGGGTAATCGAGGAACACCTCAAGTTAAACCACATCTCATTGGTAAAGAATCCTACTGACGACGGGTATTACATGCCTCACCACGCGGTACGCAAAGAATCGAGTAACACTACCAAAACGAGAGTGGTTTTCGACGCGTCCGCGAAAACGAGCGAAGGCGTATCACTAAACGACGTGTTAATGGTAGGCCCCACAATCCAAAGTAAGCTATTCGCGCATTTAATTCGGTTTCGCGCGTATCCTTATGTTCTCACGGCAGACATCGAAAAGATGTATTGTCAGGTGCGGGTGCATAAAGACGATCGACGCTATCAAAAAATACTTTGGCGAGTAAACGAGAGAATCGAGACGTTTCAGTTCAATACGCTCGTTTTCGGTATCTCTTCGTCACCATTCTTAGCCACTCGCGTGTTACAAAAACTCGCGGACGACGAACGTGGTATGTACCCTAGGGCCGCGAAAATTCTCGAGTCACATCTATATGTAGATGATTTATTAACCGGTGCAGGGACGATCGAAGAAGCTCGAACAATTCGGAATGAGATAATCGCGTTGTTAGCTAAGGGCGGCTTCACCATTAGGCAGTGGGCGTCCAACGACGAACGGATCGTTAATGACTTAATTACCAGCGCGCTACACGCAAATTTTACGTTAAACGTAGACCGTTCGCTCAAAACGTTAGGAGTAACGTGGAATGCGCGCGGCGACCAAATATGTTATTCAGCTCACTCTATCGAGATCACGGAGCAATTAACGAAACGAAACGTATTAGCAGAAATTGCGAAAATTTTCGATCCGTTAGGGTTGTTGGGCCCCATTGTTCTGTACGCTAAAAAAATCATGCAGGATGTATGGCGGTGTAAACTGCAATGGGACGAATCCGTCCCACAGAGTCTATATACTAACTGGTTAGAATTCGTTCGACAACTAGAATCGATGGGTCGAGTCTCGTTTGATCGCAAATTGCTCGTGGACGATTGTCATAATATTCAGATTCACGGATTCTGCGACGCCAGCAGTGTCGGTTACGGCGCCTGCCTGTACGTGCGTTCGAGCGGAAAACGCGGAAAAACGATATGTAGATTAGCATGCGCTAAGTCGCGAGTCGCGCCATTAAAAACAGTAACGATACCGCGACTGGAACTCTGCGGCGCGTTGTTGTTGGCTCGCTTATATCGCGAAGTTAGCAGCGCATCGAATGTCAAGCCCGATAAGGTCGTTTTTTGGTGCGATTCGACGATAGTGCTCCATTGGCTAAAAACGTCACCGCATTCATTGAAAACCTATGTAGCGAATCGAGTTTCCGAAATCCAAGAAATTACCGGTCCGCATGCATGGCGACACGTGGGTTCGGAAGATAATCCGGCTGACGCAGCGTCGAGGGGGCAATTGCCGAATGCCTTCCTGCGGAACCAAACGTGGTTCGAGGGCCCCTCGTGGTTAAACAAAGAGGAAAGCGATTGGCCTCATCAAATTACGCAATCTATCGACATACCCGAACTAAAAAAGAATATTTGTTTGGTGACGACATACACCGATCTCGGGATCTTAGAAAGAATTTCGTCGTACTCTAGACTGCTTCGAGTTGTCGCGCATTGCCTTCGCTGGCGACCGGATAATAAATGTACCGGTACTCTAAAGGCGACGGAGATTAACGCGGCCGAAATACGAATATTAAGGATCCTTCAATCCACGCAGTTTCTCAATGAAATCAAAGCGCTTACAGAAAACAAAGATTTACCAAATAAAAGTAAAATCGCTAATTTAAATCCTTTCATCGATGAAAACGGTTTGATTCGCGTCGGAGGACGGCTCCAATCGTCGCAGTTGACTTTCGCGCAAAGGCATCCGATTCTGCTTCCGAGCCGACATCACTTAACAGACTGCATAATTCGAGAGACGCATGAAAGACATTATCACGCGGGCATTCAAAGCACCTTACACACCCTCCGGCAAAAATTCTGGCTGCTCGACGGCCGCAATCAAGTGCGAAAGGTAGTTCGCGCGTGCACTCGCTGCTTCCGTTTTAGCGCTAGCACAGTCGAATATAAAATGGGGAATCTCCCACCGGCTCGCGTGCGCGAGGCAGTACCGTTTGCCAACACGGGCATAGATTTTTGCGGACCGTTCTATATCAAGGAGAAAAAGCACCGGAATCGAGCGAAAATCAAAGCTTACGTGTGCGTATTTATATGCATGTCAGTTAAAGCCGTCCACCTCGAACTCGTAAGCGACTTATCTTCCGACGGATTCATTGCCGCACTGCGCCGATTCTCCTCTAGACGAGGATTACCAGAACATATTTATTCCGACAACGGAACTAACTTTGTAGGCGCGAACAACCAACTAAAGGAAATGTATCAGCTATTTAACTCTGAACAACATCAGAATATCGTGAATAGATTCGCTAGCGAGCATCGCATTTTATGGCATTTCATACCGCCAATGGCTCCACATTTCGGTGGATTATGGGAGTCGACAGTGAAGCTTTTTAAGCATCACGTTAAGCGAGTAGTAGGAGACTCCTTGTTTACCTTTGAAGAACTGAATACTTTTATTGCCGAAGTCGAGGGTATTCTAAACTCTAGGCCAATTACGACACTCTCATCCGATCCGAATGACTTGCTCGCGTTAACGCCCGCTCACTATCTTATCGGGAAACCACTAACGGCCCTTCCCGAGGGCAATCTCTCATCTGTTCCAGCCAATCGATTATCCACTTGGCAACACATCACCAAAGTAAGACAAGACTTTTGGTCACGTTGGCATTTGGAATATTTAAACGAGCTCCAAATCCGAAGTAAATGGGTCAAGGACGGGCCAGAGCTCGAGGTTGGAATGATCGTACTAATAAAAACCAAGGGCCTACCATGCACGCAATGGGCATTAGGCAGGATCACAGATTTACGCCGAGGCGAAGACGGAGTCTCTCGAGTTGCCATTCTCAAGACTGCAAATGGAGAATTAAAGCGGGCAACACGACTTCTCTGTCCATTGCCAGTGGAACAAGGTCACAAGACCCCCGAAACACAGTCATAAGACTGTATGCGTAATAGATATAACTATTATATGTATCCGATATTGTAACCAATGTATGCGTTAGACTAGTCGAAAAAAAAAAAAAAAAAAAAAAATATATATATATGCGTAAACAAATTGATCGTTACCCTCTCAATGGGGGGAGGATGTCGTATAGAGCTCAAAAAGGGTCGTGCACGACGATGCGATGCGAAAGACGGGTTCGGTCAATAACAATTATATCCGCACGTGCATAACACATGCCTGTGTCTTGGAAGCCGGCGCGACACGGCGACGCAGGTATCGATCAGGGGACTTCCGGTTCTTTCAATTTTGGGTCCGTGTGCAAACAAGGATCGTGTGCAAGAAGGATCGTCGCTTACGTAAGCACGACGGTCACGTTACCGAAAGGGGCCAATCGGAAGCGGGTTGACGAGTGGTGGAAATCCACGGTCGTCGGAAAAATCTTC